CCTCGGCCCCGCGCCGCCCGGTCGGCGCCTTCCCGGGCTCCGTGTCCCCGGGAAGTCACCGAGGGCCGCAGATAGGGGGCGAGTGGGCACCGGCGTGGGAGGGCAAAGTTGAGCTGACGCCTGGGCGCGGCGCGGAGCTCGGAGCGCTGGGACTGGGCACCGCCACCAGGAGCCTTGGGGCTGGAGCAGAGCGAGCGGGCGGCTACATTGTCGGGCGAAGAGCTACGTTGTTGCGCTGGCGCGAGAGGAGACAGTATCTCTCTCCAGTTTGGCTCCCTGTTGGACTTCGTGTGTAGGTTTTTCGGGGACCCACCGGGGTTTTTCATTTACATAAAAAGAATCATCACGGGCCGGCGACTTTCCCCTTAGATTCTGCGAGTCTCCAGCGTTTCGCTGAGTAGAAAAATTCTTTGCTAAATGAGTTTCTAAATTTACCAGCAGTGTCCCGGAAGAGGCCAACACATGCATATTCAGCACCAAAAAAGACTGGCACATGGTCTTTTTTGACAAACTGGGTCTTGCTCTGCTCCTTGATGGGTGGGAGGAAATGTGCTGTTTTTATGAAAATGTCAAGGAACTTCTCAGAATCACATTAAGCATGCTAATTACCAAATATTAAATGCTAATTGCTCCGCTGCAGTTAGTTCGCTTGCCAAGGAAGGGAGATGAGACTGGAGTGAGCGCCTGTGACATGACAGATATTTGACGCGTGGCAGCCTCCACTTGGAGTTGGGACAGTGTCTTGCCTTAACCTGTGGTGGTGCCTGTGAGTTAGCACCTCAGAGTGCCTCAGAGCCACAGTGCCCCTCCGCTGACCAGGCTCCTTGGAAGGAATGGGGAGCCCAGCCAGCTCATGAATTGGGGGGGGGTTCAGGGTAGGGGGGTTGGTCAGAAGGGACCACACAGCCACCACCGGCAGCCAACCACTTGGTTGTGACTGCAGGCTGGGCTCCATGCGGATCCAGGCCAGACCAGCCTGGGTTCCCTCTATGGCTGTCAGCGTCCTTCTGGGCTGGCCCCTCATCTGTATGCCACGGGGAAGACTGGAAGCTGCAGGGGGCCAGGAGCTGATTTAGGCCCCTGGTGGAGCCAGCTGTCTTCGCCTTCTTCCAGGTGCTGCACATGGCCAGACCCACCCAGGGGTCCAGTTCCCTCCTGTGAGCTGAACAAAGCTACTCCAGCATGCGCTCAACAGGGACCTGTAAGTGGTACCCGTGTCTTCCTGATAGGGCGGGGGGGGGCCGTGGCCTCCAGCACCGGAGGTCAGTGTGAACTGCAGCAACCCTCCCAAATGCAAAGAAAAGGAAGGCCCTGGCGAAATTACCAGCAAGAAAGTTCCCAGGCTACAGGTCCGTGACCCCAGAAACACCCACTCAACTTCAGACCCTGGGGAGAGGAACTGGGCTTGCCAGAAGTAGCATTGTTAACAGCCCAGTAAACTTCACCACTGACGTGTGAGTCAGCACGGCGGTGGGGGCACACCAGACACTTCCCGCCGGGCAGACCACTATGAACTTGTAATTGAGCCGTAAAATACACTGACACTGAGGGTCCAGGTCGACTGTCCCAACCTCCTACTGTGTCACAGGATTCCAAATGAGGAGGGGCGGTGGGCGATGGCTATTGTCCAAGGCTGTGCTTGGGGCAGCCTGGGGTATCTGAAGCTCTGTGCTTCGCCATGCGGACGGCCACGCCCAAGCGGGAACAGCTCTGACCCTGCTGTGGGGTTATAAGGTTGAAGAGACTCCTGCCGCATACAGCAGCAAGCTCCCTGAGCAGAGCCCTGGTGCTCTGCAGCCCTCACCTGGCCTCCACCTCATCGACCAGACTCCTCTTCCCAGAGCAGGTGCCAGACCCACCGGGTCGGATCAGCACCACCGAGCAGCTCCTGACGGACTCACACGCCCAGTCACCCGCCCCCCACCCCGAGGAACCAAGCCCTCTCCCTGGACTTGAGGTCCCAAGAACTACAGCTGACCCACCCCCACCCCCACCAGGCTCACCTCGTCCCATGGCCCAGTGGAGAGGGACACAGGGACATTGGTTGTGGACTTTTTCTAAGAAAGGACCTCAGCTGCTGTCAGGGGCGTCCAACTTGGAAAAAAAACAAAAAACAAACACTGCCCGAACAACAAAAACTAGTAAAGCTACTTCCAGACAGAGGCCAAGGCCCCTTTCACCTCTGGGGGGGGGGTGTGTGCCTCCACTGTCACACCCGACTCCACCGGCTGTGAGCCCCCCAGGTCTGAGCCCAGCCCCGCTTCCCGCGGTGGCTGTCACACTTCAGTGCGCATGGTCACCCCGAGCTGCTCAAGACCAGGGTGAGGGCTCTGGCAGTGAAGGGCCAGCACGGGCGGGCCTCGCCGAGCGGCAGAGGCCCGGGGGCAGCACTGGAGACGGGTCTCTGGCATCTTCCCCAGGTGCGCCTGGCGCCACGCCGCCTCCGACTGCCTTCGGCAGAAAATAGCTTCTCACTCTGAACGTGTCACCTCATCTCCCTGAGACTACTCCTTGCCCTCAATGTCTCTTCCTCCCAAATTCTCCACCAGAATCCCGGATGCCGGCACTTCCCCGGTGGCGCTTACGGGGCGTGTGGCCGGTTAAGGGAGCCAGGGCACCCTACTCCCTGTGCGGCTGGCAGATGGGGCCGACGGTGGAGGAACAGAGGGGCCAGGGCTGCGGCCCGTGGACACCGCAGGGCGCGCGGGGACACGACCTCCCTCTCCCGCCAGCCTCGGCCCAGTGCGCGCCTCGCACACAGACTCCAGCCACTGGGCCTGCTGCGCTCTGTCCTGCTGGGGCTGTTCTCTGGCAGCAAAGTGGTGTCAGACCTGCCTGGCAGCCCCAAGGTGTCAGTCTTTCAGGATGAATTGTGGGAAAAAATTCCAAGAAAATAGTGAAACTAAAAAAATAAGGGTATCGTTCTGTGCTTTCCTAACAGAACATCTCAGGAGTAAGAGCAAAGAGCTGTAAAGACGACCGGGAGGGGCACGCTAGGCGGAGGCGAGCAGCACTCGGGCAGCACGGGTGGAGCCCTGCACGTCTGGTATGGGGACCAGCCAAAGTGAATTCTAGAATGAAGTGTCAAGCTGTGAAGGTGAAAACCTGCAAACATTACCCCAGGTTTGTAAGTGAGATCAATACAGGCAGAGGCTAAGGCCTTAAATAAACACAGCGTCATGCCGAAGGCTCCCTTCCGGTGTGGGTAACAGATGATTTAATTTCTCTTGCATTTCTGTTCTCCACATTTCCTACAACAAACATGTAGGACGTTTTATAAACGGGGAAAAAAACATGAGAAAAAAAGAGCAGAAGGAAGGGGCAGAGGAGAGAGGCCCCGGGAGCCCGGCCGGCTCCACCGCCCTGCGCCCTCGGCCTCGCTCCGGTGTGAAAGCACAGGGACGGGCCCCTCGTGCCGTGCCCCGCCTCGCCACGCCCAGGCCCTCTTCGGAGCCACAGGCGGCTTTCCTTCATGCCTTCCGGGTGGTTCTGGACTCTTCCAGAATCAGTCTCCTCCAAAGGCAGCTTACCCCGGCAGCTGAGGACGGCGCTCCGCAGGGGCTGGGTCTGTCTGCGCCTGCCAGGGCTGCGGGGTGGCAGAGGGAGTCGGGAACCAGCTCTCTTCCGTAAAAAGACTTTTAATGGTTTAAAAAGGAGTCTGTACACGACCAGCACCTCCCTGGCGCGTCTCCACTGGGGCCTCGAGGGTCTCTTCCAGCACTATCTCTTCGGCCAGTTGTGCCTGAAACCTCTGCAGACAGTACGGAAACAAGTTGCTTCTTCCGGCTCGGCTGACGTGTGCTACCAGGTGGTTTAATATAAACACTGCAAACCTGACAAGGCGGCACTGAGGGCCGCGGTCTGCCTGGGCACCAGAAACCCACAGCCTGGCCGGCAGAAGTGCGGCCTGCGAGGGCGGGCCGGCCCCTCACCCCTGGGGAGTGTTCTTGGGGTGAGCATTTCGCTGAGAGAGTTATAGCAACAAATGTTTGCTTACTGCTTCCTGTCTTGTTCCTAAGAAACAGGCTGTTCTGGGAAAACGTCAAGCCTCCTTGCTATGAGGTCACCCCAGAAACCATGTGGTTATGGGTAGCTGAGGACACAGGAGTCTCGGGCCAGATGCAGGGCGATGCGGCCTGTGGCATCCAGTCCTTACCCGCCTCCTCACTCACCACAAACCCATCTGAGTCCCTCTAGCTGGGGCCTCCGAGCCGAGACTGAGGCCGAGTCCTTAGGCCGCACCAGCTGCCCCCACATACCTGTCTGACTTTCCGGTCGGGAAGGACATGCTTTTGTTTCCCAGTGACTGTTTAAGTTTTTTGGCTCCAATGCACTTCTGAAAAGATAAGAACCGGCTGGAGCTGAGTGCCAGCTGTTAAGAGGCTCAGGACTGCGGGGCAAGTGCTCTTTGCTGGGACGTTCTGGGTGATTCTGAGGGGAAGGCTGCTGGGACAAGTACCTAAAGGGACAGGAGGGCTCCACGAAGGCCTCGCCCCCCACCTGCCAGTCCGGCCAGTCGGTTGGCTCTGGTGGCACCCACACCCACACGGGCAGATGCAGGCCCGGGCGGAAGCCGGAGCGGCGGCCTGCGGCGCAATCGCCATGACGATACACACAACAACCCGACCACCACACGCCTGCTTTTACTGCCTCTTTTAAGTTTTTATTGCTGAGTAGCTGGTGGCCGTCTATACTGGGGAAGGAATGAGCTGAGGGAAATAATCTGCACAGGAAGAGGTTCTAGTTGGACCAGATGGCCGGCATGGGAGAGGGACCAGGTAGGCCCTGCAGCATGCCAGAGTTCTCCAAGGACGTTTCTTACCTTGCCAGATGGCGTCTGCTGATTTGGATCAAACTGGGAAGGAGGTTTGGATTTGCTGCTTCCTGAAAGGTAAAGGTGCCAGTAGCCGGGGGGAGCAGTGAGTCACACACAGGCTCCTGCAGGCCTGTGCGGCCCAGGCAGGAGGATGCTGGGGTGGTGCGCTCTTGGAGACCCCCCGGCCACGTGACCCAGGGGCACATCCCGAGTCAGGGCGCCAGAGACAGGCCGAACCTTGCAGCTCTGTTCTTGGGTCCGGGCGGGGGGCTAAACACTGGCCCCGTGGTGGCAGGGCCAAGGGGGTGGGAGTGGGGGCCATTTGGGTCTCTGGGCTGAAGATGCCACCATGAACTGACTTGCTCTGAGGTGACCACCCTTCCCAGCGTGATCAGCACTGCCCTGCTCCTCTTCGGAGGGACATGGTGCCAGGACACTTGTGAGAGCAGCAGCCCCCACAGAGCAGGCGGCTCCCCCAGGCAAGGCCCAGAGCCGCATCTCAGGGCACCAGGCGCATGAGGAAGGACAGAGCCATGGTCAGAACAGCCGCACCACAGCCGTGCCAGAGTTGGGGCAGGGAGCAGGGGGTGATGAGGGCAGTGCCAGTCACAGCTGCTTCCTCGGACTGCTCTAGTAGTTCTGGGTTGGAACCGTGTCCTGGGGGTCCCATCTGTGCTAACGCATGTTCTCCACAGCCCCACCCCCTAACGTGGCCAGACGTCTCCCGGGCACAGCTCCGGCCTCACCAGCAAAAGCCTTGAAGTCCGACTTGCTGTAGTCGTAAGGGGTGAACTCTTTTGTTGGTGGGTCAGTGTCCTTTGGCTTCTTGGACATTTTGGGCCGCTTCTGTTCTTGTTTCTGCCCCACTGTCCTTGGGTCGCTCGTGGTCCGCTCTCTCTTCTTCGCGGCGCATTCCAGCTGCAAAGGGGCACACCACAGCGGCGTGGGGCGGCAGGAGGGCACTTGCCTGCACTGCTCTTAGCACAGAGCTGGCCTATGGTGGGACGGGGCTGGGGGGTGCTGGACGGCCTGAACGGGCTGGCACTGAGGGGGGAACCAGGCCACAGCAGGTGGGCGAGGCTCTCAGCTGGAGGCCATGAGGCAGGGCCAAACCCCAGAGCACCCTGGGGGGCTGGGAAGGGGACTGCCGCTGCCACTTGTCTGCTGCTCGCCTGCACGACAGTATTTTACCACAGACTCAGTGGGGAAAGGGCCGCACGCTTTATGCCAGGAACTTTTTGAGGGGAGGGAAGGGAGGAGCTAAGAGACAAGCTAAAATGAACTGGAAAGCAGCAGGTATTTCATGTGACACGTGGGGCAGGCCCTCCTGAGAGCTGAGGAGGCCTGACTGCCAGGGAAAGGCAGGGAGCAGCACGTACAGCCGCCTGCTGTCGGGCAGAGATGGCCGGTCCCACTGTCGCCTTGTCCTCTTCCTCGGCCTGGGTCCGGGCAGCTGTGAGAGAGAGGCATCCATACAGGGGCTGACCGCCCACCCACCTGTCCCTAGTGCTGCCAGTCCCGCAGCCCTCAGCCAACTCTGCCAGTGCCCCCCAGGTGCCCTGGAAGGACAGCTGCCTCGGGGCTCAGGCAGAAGCTCGTCTTCACTCACTCTCAATCTGACACCCCACTGCCCCGCTCCCAAGGTCAGCCTGCACGTCAAAGGCCGGTGTGACGCCCCTCTGGACGTTTAGGAGGGACTCGAGCAGACCGTATCAAGGGCCAGGGCCAAAGCCCTGCTCATCCTGCGGACGGCGACTCCAGCCTTCGGGGTGCTCCACTCTTCCCCCTTCTCTCACACCCCACCTCCAGCACATCACCTCACGCTGCAGGCTTGGCTCCGGATGACCCAGGTTTTGCTGAGGCTCACCCAGCCCAGTCCCACCCGGAGGGGCTCCCCAGCTGACCTCCTAACTGCCCACAGCCCCTGGCGAGCACTGGGCAGCTCAGAACCCGCCAAGGCCTTCCGACTCACCTGGAGTCACACCGTAGGGCCGCGCTTCTCCCTCACCTGTCCCTGCGTCACCCGCGCTACTTCAGTGCACGGCCTGCCGCTCGGAGCAGCCTGGACAGCACGCTGAAGGCAGCCGCCACACCACCCGCCACCCGCCGGACGCCAGCCAGCTCTCTGCCTACGGCCCCGGAGCGCTGCCCTGCCACTGGCCCACTGCCCATCGCCCCTCAGGAGGAGGCCGCTCCACAGGGCGGGGCTGTCTGTCTTGCTCACGCCGTCACCGGCACTTCGCTGAGCGACCCATGGACAGCACAGTGCCCAGGAGCTGTCCTTTGCCAGGCACGCAGGCGGAGCTGCCAAGGACGAGAGGGTACCTGTTTGCTCGGCCGACTTCTTCTTGGCCATTTCCTTAGATTCTTTCTGTCCCTGTCCCCGGCTTGCCAGCTTCCAGTGGTTGCTGATCTACAATGAAAATAAAACAACCCCACACTTGGCCACCTAGATGCTGGAAGGTCAAAAAAATACAGGGCCAGCTAACCGGAAACGGCATGTCTCGGCTGTACCCGCTGGGTTTGTGACGTGAGACAGCCATTAAGGAATGGCCGAGCTGTGGTCCAGGTTTTGGGCCTGACACCACCAGAGCTGTCCTCTTGTCCAATCCCTTCTATCACCATCCTGGGCCAAAGGAATTGTCATCCTCTCCCTTTAGGGGCAGGGGACAGGCTCAACAAAACTAAAAACCTGCTGAGGGATCAGTGCAGGTCGGACATGCTTCTTACTGACACAGCCTGTGACATCAGGATCAGTCTGGTGGCGCGGGTGAGCCTGAGGGCAGTTAGCATTGAGTGTACTGGTCAGAGGGGGAAGAGAAAGCGAAACGCCATGGACACCCCATTTCTAAACACAGCAGGCAATGCCCCAGGCCTCTCCGAGCTGAACTTTCTCTCTGCCTAATCAAAGAACAGGAGGGGGCCAGGGCAGGCCCTGGTCGGGGTGGGGCTTCCTGTAGAGGGAGAGCTTCCAACAGACAGCTAACACACGGGCTCCCAGGAAGATCTGGTGGGTGCCCGGAAAGGCCTGTTCTTATTTTCTTCATTATGCTGTTAAAAACAAAGCAAATAACATCTGATATGTGTTAAAACGAAGCCGTCACCTTTAGGAGACTGGAAGTGACATTCATATAAAAAGGCAACAAGCTGTACACTTATTAATATCTGTGTATTTCACTACCTGCAAACTGAACCCTCAGTTTAAAAAGCCCTGTGCCTGTTGTTTACAAGACCCCAGATATTTCTGAGACTCTGAAGTCCCTGCCTCTCCCTAGAGACAGAGCTGGGCTCACTTTCAGGGGCTCCCGTGGACACATCTATAAGGCTGCTGCGAAGACATCCTTTCTGCTTAGGGAGCCACGACAGAAAAGGTGATAATAACCACACTCACTTCATAGATTTTTGATGATGGATCAAACTTTGCTGCCTGGGAAATGTGAACACGCTGTTCCAGGGACGGCAGGAACTAGGAACAGAGAGACACCTGTCAGACGCTGTGCCAGAGGGGTCTGGCCCAGAATTCAGGCACACTGGGGAGGGGTTTCCCACAGAGCCCGCCACTCTGAGTCCCCACCTGGACAGGGCCAAGGGGCACGGTGCCCGGCTGGAAGGGCGCCAAAGCCTGCCGCTCTAGGCCAGAGAGCAGAGGCCGGGACGCTGCGGCATCTTCTGTCCGCCCTCCACGCCCCCGGGCTCACTCACCATCCTAAATGGATTTTCGAAGGACTCCATTATGGCCCGGGCTTTCTTCTGTGCGACTGTTAATGGAGCCTTTCCTTGTGCTTCAGCACTAGGTTCCTGCAAGGACAGAGAGCCCGTCACTCACCACCGTGACCACGCTGTGACATTAAGATGCAAGTCCGCTCTCCAGCATCTCCCGTGTCCAGCGCATCGCGGCAGCCGGCGGCAGCTCCTGGTGGGTGTATCACACCTGTGCTGCACCACTGAGCTCCTGCCTTGTCCTGACAACCTATGAGAACACCTACAGCCTGACCGTGGGTGGGGGCAGAAAGGACTGAAAGCCAGGCCTGCCCGGTTCTAGAATTGTTGGAAGCTGCAACCTTCCACTTACCTGAAATGGAAAAGCAGAAACCTTTACGGGCTGAGAGCCCCCGGCCCAGCTGCGCGGCAGGATGCCGCCTGGCTCTGCAGTTCTGGCCCTCCCACCGGGCTTAGGCGGCAGGGGCAGCCCCTCTTAGACTGAGCGCCGCTCTGCCCTGTCCGTGCGGCAGAAGCCCACGTTCACGTCACTCTGTGCTCCACCAGTCTCTGGACTTCTTACAGACCACTGAGGCAACACCCAAACTAAATTTACAGGACTCCGTGAAAGAGAAAATCCATTTCTCAGGAGGCTCGGTCCAGCTTGCTAGTGCGGCGGTGCAGGTGTGAACTGTTACGGGGCCTGGCAGACCAGCCGCAGCTCGCCAGCCCTCGCGGAGTGACCTGCCCTTACGAGGCAGGCCGCCTTGGGGTCTGACTACCTCACTGTTACCTGTGTGTGCCCTGCCCTTTCACCCCTGGTCATTTTGGTAATCCTCCTCCCTGGCCCACAACGCACCCACCCTGGCGCCAGGACCTCGGATTTCAAGTCACTGGCAGAAACCACACGTCCGCCAAGTAGTCCGGAACAGGAGGCCATCGAGGAGAGCCGTGGGCCCAGGCTGGCCACGCAGGTCTCTAGAGTGAATGGAGCTCCTGCCCAGCATTCCTCAGCCTCACTCTGGGGTAGGATGGAGCCCAGGAACTGGGGCGCAAGTGAGGTCCCACCCTCACTTCCTTTAGTGTGCCAGTGTTGAGAAATGCTCCTCAGAGCTGCATCTTCCCCCACGGCAGTCAGCGCTGGGTCAGTCAGGGAGGGGGCCGCTGGGCACCTGTGCTGGGCCCCTGGGAAGCAGGGCAGCTGTCCTCTACTGTGCTGTGCGCTGGGGGGCAGTCCTGCTTGTTTATGGCCACAGCCATGCCTCTCCCAGAGGGGCATAGTGAGGGTCAAGAAGGCCCCTCTCCACCTCTCACACAAAGTTCACGAAAAAACGGTCTGCTCGCCTCTCACACAGCAGCTCCGCCAGAGCAGCCACACCTTCCTCAGGTCTCCTGGCTTACTTCTGGCTTCAGAGTCAAAGGTGGAACAGCGCTCCAACAGCCAGCCTGTTTGTAACCCCAGTGACCCCGGGGCCACACCCCTCAGTGACGTCTCCCTGGGACTCACACTGAATAACGTGATGACAGCCGTGGCGATAAGGCATTTGGTGTCCAGCAGGGCTTTCTCTTCTTCTGGGTCTGGGAAGAGGCTTGTCTGCTTCCTCACTGGCACAGGCCCTAGAGCTTTGGAAATAAGAGTGTCAGCCTGGGCTGTAGACAGAGCCGTCTACCGCTCCTCTGGACCCTGCGGGGCACTCCGTCTTACCCCTAGCTGGCATGACAGGACAGCCCTCTGAAGGGGCGTGGGAGCAGTCGTGAGGCCCAAAGAGCACATTTTCTAGTTTCTGCACCAGAAAGAAAGTGACAGGACAGCATGAAAACCTCAAAGCATCAAGGAGTGTTTGACCTGCAGTGCCAGGGTAGTCTGGGGACAAGCACCCGGCTTTGCCCACCCCGGCCCAGCTACCTCAGGGTTGGGCAGTGGTCCACTCCTCCGTGCTCCGGCTGCGACTTCAGACTGAGGAGAGAACCAAACACAGGCTGAGGAGAGCTGCCTGCCCTTGACAGCACTCTTTTTCCTTCAGCAGGCTGTCCCTTCCTGGGTCGTGTTTCTCCAAGAGCCCAAAGATTTTCTGTCACCCCTTCGTTATTTAGTGCTCAATAATTTGCTGCTGAATCAAAGAATAAAAGCCTTCATCCCAGGCATCCCTGGTGGAGCAAGAGTTAAAGCTCAGTCCACAGCCACTGCAACACGAGTTCGATTCCCGGCCAGGAATCAGCACACACAGTACAGCAGACCTCTCCTGTGAGGCGAGGTCTCTCTGCTACCCTCAGCAGTATATTTCAGTAAATCCGCCTTTTCTGTTCCCCACTCTGTCTTGGTGGATCCTCAGCCTCCCCCACCAGCAGCCTGTACCCCATTCTTGTGTGCATAAATAAACAAATCTTGAAAGAAAAAGCCCTCATCTCAACTAGGATCCAGCTGAAAACCAGCTCATGCCAACTAGGAACACCACTGGGGGATTCGAGGAGCTCAAAGGAGCCTCCCGATAGCCAGAGTCCCCTAACTCAATACAAACTAGACCTGAGAAAGGACTCGTCACGCAGACTGTCAATGTGTCTGTCCTCAGATTCTTTTATTTTCACCGTCCAGGGCTTCATTTTAAGTCTTCCTGGATAAACAGTCTCTCAAAAACTACAAACATGGTTTACCACCTGTTGCTATTATTAGTGAGGTAACGCAGTAATAACTGTCCCAATAAAACACGTGGAAACATCCAGCCTGTTTCCTTGCACAAGCCCACGCACAGACACGTGGCTGCACACTCACGCCAGCAAGTCTGTCCCTCCCGCCCCCAACATACCCTGGCACTCCTACTTCCTGCTTTCATGCGGATCTACCCGCCAGCGCACACGGTGTCCACGAGTGGCAGGCCAGGGTGCGTGCAGACCCGCAGCGCCGGGCATGGCACTGGCCGTGGGTGTGACTACGCCTGAGGATGCCCCCTTTATGCCTCTTCTGCAGTGCGTCCCTGCGCTGGCCACACAGGCCGTTTCCAGCCAGGGCGCTACTTCCGCAGGCACAGGGCGCTCCTCCTGGAGGGGCGGCCTGGACTCCGCCCACCGCCCAGTCCAGGGCCGGGAGTGTGTGCAGCAGTGCGGGGACCGCGGGCTCCTAACCCACGCTGCCTCGCCTGTTCTCCTCCCACTCCGGGACCCCACACCGCCAGTCACTGGGGCGGAGCGCCTTACCTTGAGCAAGGGCATTTCTCGAGCCTGCTGGATTAAGAGATGCATTTCATTTATCTGCTGCCGTACGAGAGGAGGGACAGGGTTACAGCAAGCTATGATGCCCTGAGGTTCCCTGAGGACAAGAACACAATCGTCACTCAGGACACAGCCTGCACTGGCTTCTGGGCACAAACAATTGCCAGGAGCACCGGCGCGCCATGCTGGGAACCCCAGGCCAGAGGGGGCTCCGTCTCCCCCAGGAGACAGAAGAAACAGGCCCGCCAAGTCAGGCTGGCTGCGCCTGGCACCACTCCAAGCGCCAGCCCGGCTCCTGCTAACAGACAGCGCTGGATGGTGCCAGGCTCTGCTGCTGGGCAGTTCTGCCAAAGACTCGGTAGGTCTTCTCTTAACATCATGGCAACTTAAGGGGCCTCAGGCTCCTGACTGGATGACTGTAGCTGAGCTCTGAGGCAGATTCCTTCCTGGGCAGCGCAGGCCACCGGCTCAGAGGCATGCACGCTGGCTCAGCCTTGGCCTGACCCCTGACTCCAGTTCTGAAAGGCAGCCTGAAGGCAGGAATTCAAACCTCCTCAGGGCACTGCTCCCTGTGAGAAAACCGCCTTGGGGCACTAACAGTCAGAAAGGCTTGATTCTGAGGGACAAAGTCAAAACACATGAATCCGCTCACTCACTTGGGCAGCTCCTCGGCTATCTTTAACATCATGTGGTTTGGCAGGACATATCTGGAACAAAATACATGATAGGATGATTTTAATTCAGCCGGTGAGTTCGATTAAATGCCATGACCCAGGGGAAAGAAAATATAACCAATTTTCAAGACAAAAAGAAAAAAGGTCCATTACTGTCACCAGAGCCGATCCGCCGGGAAGCCTGTATGGAAGGGCCCTACTCCCTCACCCGTAACTCTCATCCTCCCGACGGGCTGTTTTATCCCTCCAGGCGAACAGCAGCTGAAAGGCCGTCAGCTGCTGGGTGTTGAGGTGCTTCTTTTGCTTCCTGTATAGTTCGAGGTAAGACTCATCCGTGAAGATAGGTTTGAAGAATTTCTACGAAACATTAGCGATTTTGTCAACAGGCACCACCAGCATGCGTGCTCTGAGACCATGGGTTCTCCTCATAGCGTGAAGAGCAAAGGGAGGGCGGCCCCAGGGGCCGCGAGCTTCACCTTGAGGCAGATGTCCCTGCTGCGCTGCCACACCACCTGCAGCTGCACGGGCTGGCCCCCGCCTCGCTCCCACAGCTCCAGCCTCATCTGGTCGTAGATGTAGAGCAGGTAGTGCGTGTCGTCTCGGGCGTAGTGGAGCATTTCCTCAGGCAGAGGCCTGGAACAGCGACGGAAGACGGGGTCTCACTGACCTCCCCGGGGCAAGCCCATGAGTCCCTCGTCCCCTGGCCGACTGGGAAGGCGGCAGGGTTTCCGCCTGGGTGAAAGCCAGGGCCCTGTAGTCCTGGACTGAACCTCAGCTCCAGACGATCTAACTGTGGAGATCACCTAGGCTCTCCGAGCTCACTTCCCTCACCTGCAAGGCGGAAACAAGGCCTCTCCTAGGCTGCTGTGAAGATCACATAGAACAGTCTCCTTAGAGCTCTCAGTTCAGTGCTTGGCACACAGCAAGGCTAAGCAAGTCAGAGTCTCCATTTTCGTTTTACAGTTGGACTCTATTAGGTTCTCTTTAGCAATTCCGGCACCGTAAAGAGAACAGCTCAGTGGCTATTTCATATAACAGCTATAAACTCGGAGATGACAGCAAACCACGTGAAAATGGTCGCGTGGCTCAAGAAGCAAAAATTCTAGTGAAGCCCTGACATAGCAACCGAGTTGACCGTGTACCTCAGCTTCTCACCATGGAGATCAGCCCGCGCACCCACACATAACCGCCCCCCCCCCCCCCGCACGGACAAACCCCGACTGCGCCCATCTCCTCCGACCACATTACGAGCCCAACATGAACCCGCGTGCTCTCCTCAGACGTGAACACAGAGAGAAGCCGACTACGTTCAACTCTGAAGTCAGACAGTGCCACGGCGAATGGGTGACTAAGAGCACCCAACGACTGACCGTATTCGCCAGTCAGCCAGCTGGTACTGCTTGTTAGAGTCCACGTTGCAGTAGTGTTTCAGCAGGTGGTCGAGCGAGTGCCTGCCCAGGTTAAGGAGGCGTGCTGCCTGGTGGGTGTCAAACATGTTCACCACGTAGAGCCCGAAGTCTTTCTGCAGCCACTCAATGTCAGAATCGGCGCCGTGGAAGACCTGAGGCAGCGGAAGCAGCCGTGAGAGGTCCGTGCTCCGGCTCATTACAACCGGAACTGGAGCCAGCATGAAGGTCAGGCTGGGCTCTCCTTTCAAGGCTTACTTCAATTTGGGCCAGAGCCTTCCAGACTAACTGTCCACTGTCAACGCGGAACTGCTACCTGCCCATGACTGTGACAAAGGGCTCTACCAGCTTCCGGGTCATCATGCGCCCAAACCCTCCAAGCCATGGGCTCACTGCCATAGTCACTAAAGTAAGTTTTTTGAAGATTTACTCATTTATCATAAAAGAGCTGGGGTGCAGAGTGAGTGGATTCACGAGAGACAGAGGGGAGCAGAACAGTCAGAGCCACTGAACTACACTGCTGAGCGGGGCAGCGGGCAGGTCAGCAGTGGTCTGCTGTGCCCTGTGGGTCACTCCCTGGCTGCGGACAGCTTCATAGTGAGGTGCTTTACCCCGTTGTGCCACCAGGGAGGGTCCAGTCACTAAAATAAAAGTTTTTTCTGGTGGCAATGAGTTAAGTCTTAGCTGGCCTATCAGACTGTGCGCACTAGAGCTATTTAGCAAGTGGCACCCCAGTGGGAATTATTCCCCTCAATTTTGCCAACTCTCTGTTGAAGTGATGAACTGGCAACCTGCAACCTTCTGAGAAACACCGACTCTTGCACTCAACCAAGCGTGGGGGAAGCAGGCTGACCTTAACGATAGCGGGGTCCGTGAGGCTCTCGTTGAGAATGTACATGTCACTTCGAAGCTCCAGGGTGTCAACGAGGAAGTCTTCCTCCCGGGTGGAGATCTGCACCAAGCAGGTGAGCCCCAGGAAGCTCCTGTAAGAGTGGTGCTGGAGCAGAGAGGGCGGGGGCGACTCAGAGGCCTTCTTCCTCCAAGTGAGAGAAGCAGCTACAGAGCAGCGGTAGAGCACTGCTTTATTTCAACAAAGTACATTTAAATCGATTTCATTTTCTACTTCTTGAGGAAACATTTCACTCACGATGACGTGTCAGTTACCTCCAAGTCTACAGCAAATTCTTGGCAACTCAGGAGTTTTTCGTTGAGCTCCACAAGGTCATCCAGGGAGGACACAAAGTGGCAGGGCGTGTCTCCCACGGGCCGATATAACTGGGTCCCAGGAGGTCAGAGAGGAAAGAGAGGAAAGGTGAGAAGCCTTCTTCACTGAAGGACAAAACGAATGTCAATTTAAGAAACAACCCAAAGTGGTGATCTTCTGCGTTAGAGAAATTTTAAAAAAGTGCAGACCACACCAGCGACCTATCTGGCTCTTTCTGGGCCACAGAACATTCATCAACCCAGCCCCCGGCGCTAACCTGGGGCTGCGGCTTCTGAAGGACCGAATCCGGTGGGGTAAAGTGATCTAGTTCGTACTGGTAAGGGTGCGCAAACCTGCGTACATCAAAAAAAACTTTAATTATTTCCATGATTCACAAACAACTGTTTCCAGGCAGTTTGTGAAAAATAAACACAATGATAAAAATACTCTCTCTCTATAAAAGGCATCGTTAGTTCAGCGATCACTCAAGGGCATGAAAAATCCAGGCGATGCTTATTTATGGTTCCAGTGTTAGTCCACATCGACTCATTTACAGGGACCTGAGCACTGCGTGTCTGGGGCTGTGGGGGTCGCAAACACGGGCGCGTGAGCCTGTGCTTTGGAAACACGAGGCCAGGAAGAGGCGTCCTCACTGGGAGTGAACTGGTCCGTTGAAGGATGCGAGGAGAGGACAGGGCAGAGACCTCAGCGGCCATTTCCTGCCCCTCTGCCATGTACTTGCACCAGGATCCTACGCTCATTCCCAAGTTCCTTGCGGGAAGAGCCACCTTTCGTCACCTGGCTGAGCGGCGGCCTACGAGACAGGAACTGGGCTGAAGGAGCCAATGATCAGACAGACTCAGGCTAAACGTGAGAAAAAGACCAAACTCACAACACTTGCACTATCTTTACGCTGAGGACAAGTCCTTTCGTCTCTGAAATGAAGTTTCTCTGAGATGCTTACACTGCCAGGGAAAGTGACTTTTCTGAATGAAACTCCTACCAAGCCCGACTGGCCTTAGCCCAGCTAGGAAAGGCAGTGTTAATTAGGAACATATCTAAGAAAACTTGGGTTTCAGGTTCTCTAATCTTGTTTCCAATCTATGCAACTGGACTGACAACAACTATAACCGTCACAGATATAAATAATTTATAACGCAGCAGCATGAGGATGAACGCGCTCAGGGCTGCAGGGGCCACGAGGGCCCTGGCCAGGCCCCTGGGGGCGCACACAGAAGCCTTTCGATGAGATGCCTGTGGGGTGGGAAGCACGTCACCACCGCCTCAGATCCGACTGTCACTTAGACACTCCAACTGCGACGCAGCGCGAGCCAGGGCAAGAGCAGCACGCAGGGCCGAAGCTGTGCCAGCAAACACTCACATGTCCTGCTCCACCTGCTGCGTCCTCTGCTGGTGGATGAAGTCAGCCAGGGCCGGGGGCACGTCCAGGTCCTCAGGACGGTCCTGCGGGCGCTCCCGCCTTTCCTTCGAGAGTGCTGCAGAGCCAGCCAGGCCAGAAACCGTCACCGACAGCTGACATTATCATGTCGCATCTAATTAGGGAGCGCTCTGGCTCCTCTGGAGGAAGCAGGGAAGCCCCTCCGTGTTTCTGTAAGAAGGCGCTCACAACACTTACCCTGAGGGAGAGGCTTCTGAGCATTGGGCTTGATAAAGATTTTAGGAAGAAATGGGGTGTTGGAATTGTCGACCTTCTCTCGGAATTTAAGCTGAGGTCGGATGATGTTCTTTGCATGAAGCAGCCTGAAAGTTTCAGATCTTGTTTTTTTACTATACTCGCCTGCCTGTGATTAACAAGTACAAAAATTACAAATGCAGCAACATGATGACTTTGAAGAGTAAATCCCAATGCATGCCTTTCAAGAAGAGCATCCCAAGAGCCTTGCTGAAGAATGGAAGTGTGTGAGTGCAGACCAGGGCTGCAAAGCAGAGAGGGTATAATTAGGTTATGTACGTTCATGAGGACAAGTCAGGCAGTGGTCAGTTCTGGATCACTGAATTAGAACAGAAACGCCCATTAGAACGTGAAAGGCCCTTCTGTACTGCTCACATTAAGAGATTAGTTAATCTGGAGAAATTAAAAAAAAAAAAAAAGCCCTCACCAGGCCCTCCGGTGGCACAATGGGTTAAATCACAGCACAGCACTACCAAAGCAAGCTGCAGCTGCTTCAGCATGGGTTTGATCTCTGTCCAGGGAGGTGACCCACAGGATGCAGCAGACCTGCTCCTCTCAGCAGTGTCAGTCTGCTTGTCCTGCTCCCCACTTTCTCTCTCTTGAATCCTCTCGCACCCCTGCACACCTCTGGCCTGTACCTCAGCTCTGTATGCATAAATAAAAAAAAAAAAAAAAAAAAAAAGTCCTCACCTTACGGTTCCAGCTGGACACTATTGTTTTGGGAACCTGTAATCCTGCAGGGAGGACAGGCTGTTGATTTTTATTCACACCTGATGCTTCATCCAGTAAAATGCCCTAAGAGTAGCAGAGATATTAGTTTGGACCTTCCTTTTAGGATTAACAGAGTTAATCACCTCAAGATTTTTTTAAGAATTCTTTTCAGAGAATGACATGTGAGAATACATACGTATAAAAGCAGGTCAGCATATGAGGGCTGATCAGGGATTCTTCTCAAGTGATTAGGACAGTTATTTGCTCAAAGTCAGGGTAACAGTCAATCCTTTGACTGGCTCTTTACAGTTTCTGAATTAGGCTGAATAGTTAAAAAAGGATTTAACAGGGGCCCTCCCTGGAGGCACAAGAGGTTAAAGCGCAGCACTATGAAGCCATGGTAGCCACTGCAGCACCAGTTCGATCCCAGGCCAGGGAGTGACCCACAGGGCACAGCAGACCTCTCCTGTCCTACCCGCTGCTCCCCTCAGCAGTAGACTTTGTCCATCCGCCTGTTCTGCTCCCCACTCCATCTCTGGTGGATCCTTTTACCCCTCATACCTCTGGTCTGTACCCCAGTTCTTATATGCATAAACAAATAACTCTTTTTAAAAAAATGACATTAACACTGAGCTGTGGCTCATTAAAGACTCTAGACTGCCCGTGTTAACACTGAAGTACAATACTCAGCCCAAGAAGGACGGTCTCCTGGTTTGTATGGCAGCGTGGCGGGGGGGGGGGGGGGGATTTGGAATCATACAGAAAAAACGAGTAACTGAAAACCATCCACTGGGCATTTAGACAATGGAAGATGACTCATGGGCTAGGAGCGCATGCTTTAAGTATCTGCAGGACCAACCATCACCTGGTTGAGGGTCAGATTTGTTTGGGGTGATCTGTGTGATTCTGTGAATAATGGCCTGCTTAGAATTAGGCATAAAGGGACAGTAAGATAGAAAGGGCCACACCTCCTTTCAGTCCACAGGGCGACAGCAGATTTAGAGCAGTAAAAATGGACAAAACTGTACGAGTTCTGTGGATCCAGAAGCCTCGTCTTTTGCAATACAAGAGCATTTGCAAGTCTGGAATATAGATCTGTACGTAGTACTTTTAAAAAGGGCTTCTACTTGGCAGTGATATTTTGGAGATAACTTATTTTGGGGGAAGAAGCCAACTCTCAGAGGAAGAGTGCATTATCGGGGAGACCTCCTAACTTAGTGCCTTTTCATTTTCCTAGGTGCCTAGGTTTCCCTTTGTATTTTAATACTGCAAAAACTCTTCATTTGCTAATCATCGTAGACAGTAAGGTGAAATACTCACTACTCTTTCAAGAATAACATCATTGGTGTCAACTAGTAAATCAAACTTGTCCTCCAACTCAGTCACTTTACTGCGATCCTTGAGGTTGCTTCGACAGCCGTGGTACTGCATCACCTTGCTCATGCTGAGGGTAGGAAAACCGACGTTAGTTTGTATACATTCACTCACTGTTTTATTCAAGACTGTTTATAATCTAGGAGAAACCACAAAAGGCTTAGCCCAGGCCACCCCAATAATTTTCAACTGCACTGATAAAACTTGCATTGTTACAGCAACCTTTAAAAAATATCACTACTTGTGGGCCCTCCCTGGTGGCGCAGCGGGTTAAAGCACTGCACTGAGAAGCTAAAAAGACACTTCTGCATGAGTTCGATCCCCACCTGCCCAAGAGGTGACCACATGGTGTGGCAGACCTCTCCTGACCCGCCCGCTGCTCCCCTCAGCAGTGTACTTCGTCGATCTGCCTGTTCTGCTCCCCACTCT